CACCATACCTATGACTAGAAAGGTTTTCTTATTTATTATTATCTATTATCAATTCTGTACCTCCGTACATGATGCAGGTTTAAATGTCAAAGAAACCTCAACTGTAAAAGTCAGTTGTACTCGCAAAGTCCATAAATAAGAGAAGTTGACGATAGAAAAGTTATTATGTTTACCATCAAGTGTTCTTGTCAGTTTGCCATCAGAGTCCTTTTCTAGTAAATATCTTATATGAAACAGATTCGTCAGACTATCTTGTGTCTTTTCTTTCGAGATAATTGGGAGTATCGAACCAACATCGGAATGAAACTGAATGTTGCCATTATCATTAATACAACGTCGTCAACATATCTTAATTTCAAACTGAAGGCCACAGCAAGAGACTTTTTCTTTTCATGTGGAATTTTTTGAATTAATTCTGCTTCGTATAGATACAAAAACTCTAATGGGAAGAAACAATTGGGACCCTTGAGAATTTCAACAGATTAATGGAAAAAACTCGTCTCCCAAAACTTCATAGTTACTGTCAGTAAGAAAATCAACCATCGTTTTAATATCAGTATGTAGTACTATTGTGTTTAATCTTGTTTTTTTTTTCAATTATATGCTTCTTGTCACATAAGATTGCTTTCAGGAGCTCTGATCTGGCAAACAAGAGATTTAATTTTGTTTTTATCAGCAAGATTTCTGTGATAATCTAACAATTTAAAGGATTAAATGTAAGACAATAAAATGTAAAAGGGCATTTCAATACATAGAGGCTAAAGAAACCTTAGACCTCAATATGAATTTCAGAGGCGAAAAAGAAAGTGTATTTCAAAATCTAAAACAACTCATATATTGCACGTTTTCTATATCATTTTACTAAGTCAGCATATTTAACAAGCAAATTCAAAGAATTATGGTTCCCCGCTTCCGGTGTCTTTATGGGTCATTTTTATGACATATTGTGTCAAATATGAAAGCCCTATTATATGTCATTCAGAAGTTATCACCGAGATTGAGTTCTTATTTTTAAATTTAGGTCAATCATGAAGGTCAAAAGGTCAGAAATCATAGCATGCTCAGATATATCTTGTCAAATATTAAAGCCCTATCACTTTTCAATCAAAAGTTTTGAAAGGAAAACTAATATTTTTGAAAATTAGGTCAAATGAACAAAATTCAAACTCACGTTAATGATGAAGACCATGTATCCCTTTGTGGCCTTCAATAATTCAGAAATGAAAAAAAAATATGAACTGAAAAAAAAATGTTTTAAAACAATCTGATTTTACACATCAGTACTTCAAAGTTGATATTAAAATGGATAAAATTTTTCCGATAGGGGGGCATGTTTCTTTCGGGGGGGGGGGGGGGGTTATTAAGATTTTTGAGAGTAATCATTGTTTGCTATGATTCAAAATCGCCATTTTCCTAAAGTTCGTCCTTATTTCACCTTAAAAATGTTTCAAGCAGCATTTAATTCATTTTTCCTTGTTTGGTGGTGATTTTTGCAAAGCCTTAATTTGTAATGACACTCTGAACTAATAAGGTGCAGTAACATTCTACATCAAAATGCACGAGAGGGAATTCGAAACAGGATAAAATATTAATGACACACATTTTATAAATCTTGGGCATTGAAGTAATTTGAATTGTCAATAAATTCAATGCCTAAGTCCAGTGTAATTTGCTTGTCTAAATAAGTGAGCAACGTAATAAATAGTTGCCCGCGTAGATGTTACATGTACAGCGGTCTCGGAGTAAGGACTTAATCCTAACGTCGCGGGTTCGAATCCCACTGTTGTACGTGAACCGGTCCTTCCCATGAAGCCGTATAAACCGATGTCCCGTGTCGCACTACGAGATGGCATGAAAAGGATCCCTTGCTATTCAAAGACTGTTAGTGTCAAGAATATGACTATTCAAAATACAAACGAAAAACAACGTCTGATAAGTTTTCATACCTATTTCATATTTCCGGGGGATCTTTAACATTTTGATACATTCATTTAAATGCAGGAATTTCCAAGAAAAACCGAATCTCATTGATAATTTATAATAAAACTACGGCATATACTATATACAGAAAATAGGGAGGATGTAAATCCCTCCCTTCTTTTCAACCAAATATTCTTATTTTAATCGTATAAACATTTTACTTTCCTTGTTAAACTCTTTGTCTATTAGAAAAAAAATGATTAATTTTTAGTAAGTATTTACTTGAAAAATATTCAAAATATTGTCAAACATTTTAGGATGAGATGCATGTACAGCTTGAATTTTGAAAACTTAGATCTCTTCAGATAAATAATACGAAAAACCCTCTATTTAAAAGATTATGGTTTTTTTTAATTGTTTAGTGATTATGTGTGCTTGAATCATGAATGTTTGACATTCTTCCAATAAATATCAAACTTTTTCGCGATATTTCCAACGAAAATGTGCTGTTTAAATCACTTCTAACAAGAAAAAGAGTAAGCAAATTGTTATTTCGTTTCAATTTGTAAGGAGATTATTTCTTGGCTGTACTGGCAGTCCAACGACCAATTTACAATACAATCAACCTTTGATTACTTGCACAGATCATAAAAGTAATAGCAGGCCATTCCTTATTTATGTAACTAAATTTACAGCATTAATGCATGCAAATAAAGTCTTCATAAAGTCCATTTCCTCCCCTGACTTTTCTTCACGCCAATATCCGGTCTTCCGTAATTTCCCGTCATTCCGTTCGTCTTTGGAGATTTAATGGCGGGGCGACATGTCACAGTGTGATATATTAACATACACTTTATCAAATGGGCCTTGACGGGCGTGACTAGGCATTCCTATCTGTATTCAAATGTTATCTTCTGCAAAACAATTAACTATTCAAATTGTTATGTTCTTATGAAAGGCTAAATTGACACCGATTTCAATTCAAACCTGACTTTTACTCAAAAAGGAAAAAAAGTTTCAACCAACATTCCTTAAACCTCTTTAAAAGTTGAAAAACAAAATAAACCAATTCACAGAAGATCACTGCATCATTATTAATGAAATGTTTTCCAAAGTAGAGTTTTTACGATTTTGTGGGGTTTTGGGGGAGGATTTAATAAATTCTTTGCTAAAATTCAAACCAAAAGGAAGTTTGAACCTTCCTTTCAATTGAAAATCTTTTTTATAAAAAGATGTTTGTATAATCTGTGAAGTATTTAGTCTTTTCGTTTATCTAAGATACATTATTCTTTATCTTTGTCTAGCACCAGTTAAAGCAAACGCAGTCAATGATCGGTCGATGTTTAGAGAAAACATTTCTGAAAAAAACGTCGTATGCATACATGAAAATATGCAATTCAGTTACAGTCAGTTAAGGATCTTTTTCGTGTCAATACCTTCTGCGACTAGGGTATCCAATTATCCGGTCACATACGAAGGACCGGTCTCAGCGTCCAGCAATGTGATTTCAACCCGCGAGGTAAGGATCGTCTCCTTACTCCTTGACTTGAAAGCATGCTCTAACACTGCCGTGTTTTACTCCTTTGTAAAACGGCTGTAACAGTTAATATTTGTTATATGGCTTCTTCATTTAATTATTTCTATAAAATGGAAATTAATGTGCATACAGCAGTCAATTATCAGATAAAATGGACCAAAATATTGTTGATTTATTGTACAGGAAAAGATGCAGTGCATTTCTCCGTTTAAGGCATGAAATGGTATTAATCAACGTCGAAAATTAGACAAAGCGGAATTGAAAAGTAGAAACAAACCAATGCAATGCGGAGTCATTGTTTTCGGTATTTAAGAAAATATTCCTTGATATACTCTATGTGTTGAAGTTATTAAAAAGTTAGTTTCGTATGATATAGTTGATTTATATTCATTGTTATATACTAAGATCATATCTAATTGATAAAAGTACATAAAATATAAGAATTTAGTCAATTAAAAAATTCAAGTGTTAAAGTCAAATATTCAGCTCAAACCCTTTAACTAAAAAAAGTGGATTAAACTTAATCAATAGAATCAGTAAATTATATACACACATGCACAGCACGTTCAATGACCAAATTAACTTCTCTAAGTAATAGTATCTTTAATCGTTTAAATAAAATGTATATAATTAAAACAAACGAGGTATGCATAACATAAGCACATTGTACAACTTGCTTGTCTATTCAGGTCATCTTTAAACAATGTTTACTTGCCCTCTCTCGACTCAACAGAAAAAAAAGGTAGGTGGGTAGGCAAAAAGAAAAAAATTGTCAGGAATATTCGACATAAATGAGCAATTTACAAAATTATAGAAGATGGTATTTTTAATGTAAGTTTTAATGGGGTAAGAAATTTCGGAACAACTTGAAAAAAATCTTCCTGAATTTTAATTTTTCCATTTTGAGTTGGAAAACTTGAAAGTTGTTCGAGGTAAGCAAACAAATTTAAAAAAAAAAAAAAGACCTTTTAATGGTCTTTGGACCAAGTTACAAATTAATGGAATAAAAGGCAAATGTTTTCAATATATTCAAAATATGTATAAAGGTATTAAGTCTATGGTGAAAATGAATGACATGTCCACAGAATTTTTTAGCTGCAATGTAGGAGTAAGACAGGGAGAAAACCTCTCGCCATTTCTATTTTCCATGTATATTAATGATCTTGAAGATTTTCTACTTAACAAGAATGTTGTAGGCTTGCAAAGTATTTCAAGCACTATTGAGAATGAATTACTAATGTATTTTAAACTGTTAGTACTTTTATATGCAGATGACACTGTTATTATGGCTGAATCAGCCGATGAATTACAACATGCAATTAACGAATTTCAAAAATATTGTTTGCAATGGAAGTTGAAAGTTAATGTCGAAAAAACGAAGATCATGGTATTTTCAAAGGGTCCAATGGTAAAAAGAAAATTTTATTACGACAACTTAGTTATTGAAAACGTTAAAGAATTTAAATAAATCACGCTCTGGTTCCTTTTGTAAAACAAAAGGACACTTATATGAACAAGCTCAAAAAGCGATGTATGGAATTATAAGAAAAATTAGACAATTCAAATTACCAGTTGACTGTCAATTTGATCTTTTTGATAGAGTTGTAGTACCAGTCTTACTATATGGCTCTGAAGTATGGGGCTACGAAAACCTTGATATTGTAGAACGTTTACACTTGAAGTTTTTAAAGCATGTATTTAATTTGAAAAGTTCTACGCCATCGTACATGGTCTATGGTGAAACAGGTCGCTTTCCTCTGTACATCTCGGTATACTGTAGAATGATTTCATTTTGGGCAAAGCTTTTTTCAGGCCCACAAACTAAAATTGTAAATGTTTTATACAAACATATGTTTAAATTGTACTGTGATGGAAATTTAACAAACCGATGGTTAATATATCACAGTCGGTTATCGAGTCTTGTTGGTCGCACCTCTAGGACGACTTGGCTTTAATTGTGACCGACGTTTGCCTCACACAGACAAACAACCATATAAACAAGGACATTAAGTAAATCAGAAGAAGGGAAAGTCCAGGTGAGGATGACAGAAAAGAAGGCGCAGCAACACCCTTTACAACCAATAGAAAGACAACGCAGCGAAGAAGCTCCTGAAGGGAAGCTCGGGGTCTGGAATATAAAAGTATAATTGGACAACTTATGACAACGCAATCTTTTATAGATAATTTGTGGCCTAATGATTTTAACAAGGAAGTAAATAAGCCTCCCTACAACTCATAAACACAAAATGAAAACATCTTCTGTTATTATCCTTCAGAATTAGACAGTCAATCTGATTGGTTTAGAGCAGGTCACGTGCAGGGAGACAACTCGTGATGTCTCCCTCACGCGCAGGGTGACAACTGTTATTTCCCTTCAGATGGCAATGAAATAGCATAAACAGGCATGCAGGGTTACAAGTGTTTGTCGCCCTTTGAATGAAACTATAGTGATTTAAGCGAGATAACTCCTATTTATAAGTACAATTGCTAAATATGCGGGATCGGTAACAATAAATTCCAACGATGACGTCAAAGTTGTCTGTTGACATATTTTGAAAGTATGGAATCGGAGCAGAGTAGAAGAAAACAAGAGGTTTGATTACTATTTTCTACTCTATCTAATTGATAATTGTATATTCTTCAGGATAATAAAACTATTATGGACTGTTTAGAAGGGAGACATCACCAATTATCAAGTCTGAGTAGGGTTGTCACCCGAGGGCCCTTGCGCCCGAGGGTGACAACCCTACTCAGACCTGAAAATTGGTGATGTCTCCCTTCTAAACAGTCCATAATTGTATAAAGACAAAGCTAGTGTACTATATGAACTTTCATCTACGGGTAACATGCTATGATTTTATTCAGTGGTTGTTTTAAACTGATTTTTGTTTTAAATAAAAAAAAACTTACGTTATATTAAATCATATCACAATATTTGAGCCTTTTCAAATTTTTATTATAAATTAATTATAATTTTAAGTGTTAAAAATTGCTCTTAAGTACTGAAAAGATTAATTGCATTTTTTTCTTTTCGATTTCAATTAAAATCAAACAAATATAATATACATGTGAATATACCTACATGTATAAACGTTGATATTATTAAATATTATCATGACTATACATGGGTCTATGCTATCTATCAATGCATGTATTTCAAATGTAAAAATTATAGAAGAAGAAAAAAACCCTACAACATAGGACATGTATTTCAGATTAGCAAATAATTAGTGATTATAGTGTATTGATTTTCATTTTTCCTATAACTTTATAATGAAGTTTACAATGGCTGAATGAATACAATTTTAATCTTGGTAATTACTGTGTATGAATTAAATTCAAGTGGATGTAATGTACAAGTCTGAGTGTGCATACCCTTAATATTGAATTTTATTATGCGGGCTTGCAAATTTTCAGCAGGGCTGACAGACTTTTTGAGTAGTCAGCCCTGCTGGTCCACCTGATTTTTTTCCGAGTTTCGTACACTGGTTAGAATGTACTAAAAAAAATTAAATTCACCTTGATAAAAAATGTAAAGTCAATGAATTTAATGGTACTGGTGACTTGCATTCCTAAAAATAAACTTGCCAATTTTAATTGTATCTTTAAGATCTTGAAAGCAAAAATAATAACAATCTTCTAAGCTACTTTTTCTCAGCCCCTCTTTGTGCAAGTATCGATAAGATAATTGAATAAAAATATCATGATATATTACTTGTATCGCACAAGAAGAAATCATGGGAAAATAACAACATTTATATAAACCTACCTGTTGTCATAAAGGGCACCAAACGTGGACAAGGTGAAAATAATAAATACAACACCTGTCAAGGTGAGATACGGAGAAAATTCCTAGAGAATAAAACATAACATATACCGGTACAATGTCGTCACTTTAAAAAGAATCTATCAAAATAAAAAGAAACTATAAAATTATCAAAATCATTACATGTATATGCAATTTTGTTAATTATACATGTATATAGAATCATAAAAAAGTTATCCATTAAAACGATATTTTATTCCATTTTCAAGTATCATAAAATGTAATTTGAACAAACAAACAACTTTTACCGTTTTATATGTGGCGAGGACACCATAGAAAACGATCAAAAGTGGCATATGTATCCAGATGTACAGATTTGTCCATAATGGCAATTGTCTGTCAAATTTCTCCTGGGGAGCATGGATCTATTAAAAAATTATTCATTTCAAAAAAGTCAAACCTAGCATTTTAGCATAATGAAGGACATTACTGAATAACATCAACTGGAAGCTTCTCAAGAACCCCAACATTAGCTAGTTTGGGGAATTTATTTTGGCTTTGGACTTTCACTATTTTTATCGTGAATGAAACAGTTTCAAACTAGAACTGTCCAATCGGGACAAAATACCCCCCGCTGGGTTTTTCAGAAGTAAGTTTTTGTATAATAAAGATATGTATCAAACACGAATTATAAAATTTTTCTTCCAGTGACCTTGAACTTCCCCAAATGACCTTGGGTCAAGGTCATGACACACCCTTGGGTCATGGGCAATCTTTGAGTGAAATAAGAACCTACCAAGTTTATCAATAAGAAAGATATGGACCGGACACGAATTATTAAATTTTTCTTCCAGTGACCTTGAACTTCCCCACATGACCTTGGGTCAAGGTCATGACACACCCTTGGGTCATGGGTAATCTTTTTATGAAATGAAAACCTACCAAGTTTATCCTTAAGAAAGATATGGACCGGACACGAATTATTAAATTTTTCTACCAGTGACCTTGAACTTCCCCAAATGACCTTGGGTCAAGGTCATGACACACCCTTGGGTCATGGGCAATCTTTATGTGAAATGAAAGCCTACCAAATTTATCCATAAGAAAGATATAGACCGGACACGAATAATGAAATTTTTCTTCCAGTGACCTTGAACTTCCCCAAATGACCTTGGGTCAAGGTCATGACACACCCTTGGGTCATGGGCAATCTTTGTGTGAAATGAGAACCTACCAAGCTTATCCATAAAAGATATGTGTCAAACATGAATTTTGAAATTTTTCTCCCAGTGACCTTGAACTTCCCCAAATGACCTTGGGTCAAGGTCATGACACACCCTTGGGTCATGGGCAATCTTTGTGTGAAATGAGAACCTACCAAGTTTATCCATAAGAAAGATATGGACCGGACACGAATTATGAAATTTTTCTTCCAGTGAACTTCCCCAAATGACCTTGGGTCAAGGTCATGACACACCCTTAGGTTATGAGCAATCTTAATGTGGAGTAGTAGATTCTAATGTCCCTCTGTAAGAAAGATATGGACCGGAACGATTGCACAGACAGACGGACAGACGAACAGACGGACAGACAGACAGCTAGACAGACAGACAGACGGACAAGGTGATTCCTATATACCCCCCCCCAAACTTCGTTTCCGGGGGGTATAATAATGAAGTGCTAGTGGCGAGCATTATTTTTCAATTCGTTATACATTTAACATTGAAGATTTGATAACGGAATTTTACATCCATCATAAACAAGGAAAGTTAACGATGGATAAGCTGAAGTCATCTAGTTTGTCATATTTAGTTCAACAGTTACGATAAAAACACCTGCAAAGAAAATAAAAATCCGAAGAAAAAAAATCATTACGAAGTATATTTTGCTGCATGTTTTTCCTGATTATTTTAAATTGGAATCATTCCATATTTGTTTAATGAGAATTTCAAAGACGTTTCCTTTTCTAGTAACAATGACAATATCATAAGTGAAATAATGAATAACTTTCTTGTTGTAAAATTTGGGGAAAAAAACTTAATGCTAAAATGGTCTCTGACATCATTTTCATTTTGAGTATTGGTAAATAGAAAAATCCTTATAGATGAAGATTTTTTTTGTCTAGACTAGAGAATTTTTATCAATACTAGTAGTCAATAAAACTAAACTGCATGTGTCTTGATCACATATACAAATGAAATGGCAATGATATATATAATATAAATATTTAAACATATTTGTTTGCATTTCATAGTACATGTATACATTTTCTTTACATCAAAGTGGAAATGAATGAAGAAAGAATTCCAGACGAAATGAAACGGTCTCGGGTTTATTTCCGATGATTTTATTCTTGTTAATCATATTTGTTGCATTGATTTGAATTTGCCAGGACGTAATATAAAATATCAAAAGCAAAAATATTAAATTGGCCATTACTCCTCACGAAAACTGCCCGAGGGATTCGAAAAAGGTTTATTGATAAACCCGAAAGATCATGGTTCGCTTACAGTGTATAGCATGTGAACACTCCCAAATTCTCTTGATAGAATGTGGTTTATATCAAGTCAACTATTCCTATCTAAATCAATTTCGTCATAAAGTTACCATGTAAAAATTGAGAAATTGCAATGAATAGAAAATACATCGTGGATATTACAAATTGAAATACCTAATCGAAGAAACTACCTTTTATTCATCTATAAAGAAGCCTATATTGAGTGTAAAAATAAGTACAACTTGCATCTGGTATATCTTCGATTAGGCCTGTTCGAGGTTTGCCCGGGGCCCAACCAGGTCCTTTCCAAATTACTGCCAGCTTGTTTGCAAAACCCTCTGTTTCTTTGAATACACTCCACATATATTTAAGATGACAGATCTGAATTAAGAAAAAATACTATTTTGACTTCATTCTTCAAAAATTCCCAAATAAGAATGAGATGTAAACATGTGTTACAAAATACAATCATCTCGACTGAATGTTTTAATATCAAAACTTAAAATCAGAAGTATAGACACAGTGATTTCAGACTTGTAATATATCCTTAGATTGATAACTGTGAATAGTTTGTTAATATAAAGTCTAAGATCGTGTATTTTGCAAATGAAACAAATGGAGATAAACAGTATTCAAGATCAAAAATCCATAAAACAATACAAAAATAGGAGTCGAGCAAACACGGACCTCCAAAACGTCAGAGTTGGGATCATGTGCCATGGAGGAGGGAGCATCCCCTGCCGACCGGTCACACCCGCTGTGTGCTCCTTGTCATGATCGGAAAATAGCGGGGAAATCCGTCAATTCAGTGTATAAATAATATATTTTAATATAAATGCTTATTTTACCTTCCATCTACACTGTATACAAAGAGAGATCTACTAATCCACAAAAGACACGGTATTGAAATATACTGAAACAAAAAAGAAACGCAACACCCTAATTTTAGAGGAAAATTATATACAGTTTATAACTTTGAAATAAAAAAGTTAGGACATCTTCAGCTTTGTGTTTCTTTTGCGTTTCCGTATATATAAAGATACAGGTAAACAAAGATTACAGAGCTCATCTAACGAATGTTTAATTTTTAAAGATGACAAACGTCCACACTTATTTGATAATGAGGCAGTTTGCACATCAATGCCCTGTTCACACGACGAGTTTAATTCGCAGTAAATTAATGCGAACTAAACTAATGCGAATCAAATTAATGCGAATTAAATTGCGTTCACACGACAGCTAATGCGAAGTAAACTAATGCGAATTAAATTTTTTCTTCAACAGTCAGGCGTCAGTAAGTCTATTATGACGTCATTTGTAAATCACGTCATGTACGCAGAGCCATCCTTTGATACATCATGTAGTGGCTACAGGTATTCATTGATTTTAGTGATTAACATACTTTCCCTCAATTTTTAAACCAAATATAGCACAAATACCTATATATAACCACCAACACGTGTCCTGTGACTTAATTCTGGCCTTACGCATGCGTCAAAATTTAATTCGAATTAGCTTCGCTTAGCGTTCACACGGAGCTAATGCGAAGTAATTTAATGCGCAGTAAATTAATTCGAATTAAACTAATTCGCATTAAATTCTCCGTGTGAACGCTAAGCGAAGCTAATTCGCAGTAAACTTACGTTTAATTCGAATTAAACACTCCGTGTGAACAGGGCACAAGATGTGACACCCCAATTTAAACTTACAGTTTCTTGGGAAATCCCCCCTTTTTTTTTAAAAAAAAGGGGGGCCCTTTTTTTTTAAAAAAAGGGGGGTGTCTAAATTCATCACTCATCCGGAAAAAGCAGGTCTGAACAAGCAAACAAGGCAAATCTGTTCATTAGTGTGCATCCATTGTTGCATCATACATACAATTTTTGGCTGTTAGTTACATGTACTAAAAATGGTCACTCATCTAGGCAGCGTGAGATCCAACGCACGAAGTAAATGTGGAAGCTTGCGTGGCCAGATTTGTCATCAATACAAATTTGATCTGTGATGGACTTTACATATTAAACTAAAATCGAAAATCTTGAACTTGGTCACTCGTGCAGAAAATGCAAGACTAAATCCTGCATCTAAAGCAAGCCTGAAAAAGTTTTTGTGTGTGTACAGGTCAGTGTATTCTTTTTTAATCAATGATACGTGTCATCCATTGGGTTTTTTCGTTTATCATCGTTGAAAATAACCCTTAAATCACATAATCAAACTGATAACAAACAATTTTACAAAAACAAACAAACAAACAAACAAAAACAAAAACAAAAACAAACAAACAACAACAACAACTATACATTTCTCGTCAGTTGATTTACCCCCAATATCTGCAATGAAAGATAAGCCATTTTTCGCAGATTAATTTTTTCAATTATTTTGCCGAAGTAGATTTAATTGTAGGCAGTGGAAGCTTATCCATCTTCATCAAGAGATATGTCTGTCTGATGTATATTGGGTTCCCTACCTGCGCATTAATGGGGTCCCATGACGTAAGAGGGTGGACTAGTCCATATACGACTTCTTCCTGCTCTTTTGCAAATGTTCCTGAATAGAAAGATAATTGTTTTGATTCAAATTATTGAATATTACAGACTCCAGTCAAGACCCCTGCGAGATGCAAATGATATTGGTTGAAGTGTACCTAATAGTAGATTTTTTCTGCACACGCAAATTAACTTACGTTTGGTTTAATGATATAATCCATATTTCAGCAAATATATATTCTATTTAAGAGAGTAAAACAGACTGATAAAACGTTTTTGGTCGAGCTATCTCGTGATCAACTTAGTTGTAAACACTAGAATTATACGATAGGAATCACAATGCCCGGGTTATCCTATTGAAATCTTAACGACTGAGCGTTATGTTTGCGTCAAGAATTTTAAGCTGTTTTCCCTCAATTCTAGGCAATAACACTTTGTTTCTATTCACCCTGAAAATGATAATACCATCGATTTCAGCTTTGTGATCTAGAAATAAAATTGAGCATATAATGGCATTGCTGTTTCAAATTTATTCAGCAATTTTTGTTCTGTTGAAATTCAATGGTACTCAAGAGCACTAAAGTACATACCTGGAGGTTTCACTTGCCTATTCCATAAATTCAAATTTAACCTTATTCAAATATCTTAATGAAAGTATTTGCAATCAATTACAGATCAAATGCACCTCATTTTTATTGACACTAGAATAAATAAATTCTATGTGAATTTTGCATCAATATTTGAAATATTATTTAGTCCTACAACCAGTCCATTAAAACTATTGTTACAGCCTGTTGTACATTTTTAAATACCATTTTGGAGTATATAATTATGTAGATGTTTGTTTGTTTGTTGTTTAATGTATATGTACTGATAATATACGTTTTTCTATTCTACAAATACACTTTCTAGTTTTAATACTGATCGGAATCTTACCAAATATTCGATCAAATATGATGAGAGTGCCGCCGTAGTTTTTATCGATACAGTATCGATTTCTCCCATGGTGAACCCTATGATGGCTCGGCGTGTTGAGAATCCACTCCAGCGGCCCAAGACTGTCCACTGTCTGAAAGTGATTACCATTATATAAGAATTCATTAACTGTCGGTATCAAGAGAGATTCCACCTTCTCTGTAGCTTTAAACACTGTATACTCTATAAATAATAGATTTTAACATGTAAGTAACACAAAAATAAATTGTTATTAATAGTACATGTTCAAAATGATTATTATAGTTAAAGATATATTTAATGATAAGGTTTTGATTATTTGATTTCTGATCGAAGCTTTAATTGATGTGGAAAATCGATTAATGAATTAGTTAATTTTGTGATCGATTTAACATTGGATGATACAGTACATTTTTGATATTTTTAATGAAAGTATCATTATAATTGATATTTTTCATATTAATGTGTATTGTTAGCAATGATTATATTTATTAGTGATTATTATTAAATCAATGATTATTGTTTCCGATTTATAACCTTTTCAATAATTATATTCATCAATTATTATTAATGATTTTTGTTGTTATCAATGGTTTCTTTGAATGAATATTGTATTCTTATTGTCAGTAATTATATTTATCAATGATTAATGTTATCAATAATTAAATTGCTCAAGGTTTACTGTTATGAATGTTTATGGTTATAAATTATAGTATTTATTCATTGTTTTTTCTATCAATAATTATTTGTACCAAAGGCCATTATTATCAATAGAAAATGTTCTCAATTATATAAATGTAAAATATAATTGTTATCAATGGTTATTATTATCAATATTGATAATTATAAATGACTATTGTGTAATCCCTGTTATTTGTTATTAATGACAAATGTTTTTAATGGTTATTTTTATCACTGATAAAAGTTTTCGATTGTAATTATCATCAATGAATATTCATATTAATATTTAGTATTTTATTTGATTATATATATCAATGGTCATTGTTATTAACGATAATTGTAATCAATGATCAATGAGAACAATGATTTTTGTTTCAATTATGCTATTTATCCATGATTATTGTTATGAGTGATCATTGTAATCAGTTATTACAGTTATCAATAGTCATTTTTTTAATGATTATTGATCTCAGTTTTAACTTTTTATGATAATTTTTGTTACCAGTGATAATTGAAATTTACGTTTGGTGATTGTTTTAATGTCAGATGATGTCAGGTTTACAGTCGTTTCGTTTTCGTTGTTTGTTTGTTGTTTCGCTTCCCCTCTTCACTCATATGGAGACGCCGCGCCACCACTTGTCTGTGGAGAGCTTAAAATTTTTACATATATTCGGTACTCAGGGCAAATGAGCAGTGAGGGATCTTTTTAGTGCCAGCACCTTCTGCGACACGGGACCACAGTTTATAAAATCTCATCCGAAGGACCGGACTCCACGTCCCAAAGTGGGATTCGAACCCGCAATGTAAGGATCAACCCTTTAATCTGCGACTCTAGAGCAGACGCTGCATCACAGAGCGACCAATCGTTTAGTAAAAGTAGTTGTTGGAAAGACATTTAAGAAAAAAAATTAATAATTATTTGATATTTCATTGTATAAAGAATAGGAAACTAAACCTTATCGATTTTTCATCAGTCAATGGTGATTAAAGAATTAATGATGATTGATTCTATCACTTATAAAGGGAGATTTTGGGAAATTAATCAAAGCTTTAAATCAGCTTAGTCCTCGTAGTCTTACGCATACAAACATTCCAGATGATAATGTATATATAGTTTGTTTCCATAATATTTAAAATAGAAAGAATGGTTAAATTTAGTTCTGAAAGAGACACATTTTAAAATTTAATTATCGTCGACCAACTGTTCCTGAAAGGAAAAAATATAAGTAAAGTACAAAAAATTTCCTTACCTCTGTGTGTATCCAGAACTGGTACAGCAAATTAAACTGGGAGTGAACCAAGAATACAGAGGGTGGCATGACTAGGGCCAAGGGAAGGTAGAACACCTGTAATCATAATTATATGTCAATCTATAGCACAGGCACGTAGCAACCGGGGGGGGGGGGGGGGCAGGCCCTGCCCCCCCCCCCCCCCACTTTTTTTGCCAACAATACTTTTACTATTGAAAATGTTCACTGAAAGGCTGGTTGGCCCCCCCACTTTATACAAAAGTAAAGTAATATGAAGGAAATATAGTATTGTAAAGTTAAAAAATGGCTATTGAAAGGAATTGGTAGTAAGAAAAGTTTGCCTGTACCCCCCACCCCCCCCCCTCCCCCCACGAAATAGGATTTTCGACTTTGGGCAATTTCCCCCCCTTTTTTTTTTGCGTGTCAACTTCTTTTTCAGGTAAGTAAAAAAAAATTTTTCTCTGGCTGGCCCCCCCCCCCCCCCCCACTTTCAAAATCGATGCTACGTGCCTGTAGCAAGATAATAGAGGGTGGCATGACCAAGGCTAAGGGAAGCTAGAACATCTATAATCATAACTATACTTCAATCTATAGCAAGATATCAGAGGGTGACATGACCAAGGCTAAAGGAAGCTTGGACATCTGTAATCATAACTATACTTCAATCTTAAGGGTGACATGACCAAGGCTATGGGAAGGTAGAACATATGTAATCATAACTATACGTCAGTCTTAAGGGTGACATGCCCAAGGCTAAGGGAAGGTATAACATCTGTAATCATAACTATACTTCAATCTTAAGGGTGACATGACCAAGGCTAAGGGAAGGTAGAACATCTGTAATCATAACTATACGTAATTCTTAAGGGTGACATGACCAAGGCTAAGGGAAGGTAGAACATTTGTAATCATAACTATACGTCAATCTTACGGGTGACATGACCATGGCTAAGGGAAGCTAGAACATCTGTAATCATAACTATACGTCAATCTTAAGGGCGACATGACCAAGGCTAAGGGAAGGTAGAACATCTGTAATCATAACTACACTTCAATCTTAAGGGTGACATGACCAAGGCTATGGGAAGGTAGAACATATGTAATCATAACTATACGTCAATCTTAAGGGTGACATGACCAAGGCTATGGGAAGGTAGAACATATGTAATCATAACTACACTTCAATCTTAAGGGTGACATGACCAAGGCTATGGGAAGGTAGAACATATGTAATCATAACTATACGTCAATCTATAGCAAGATATCAGATGGTGACATGACCAGGGCTAAGGGAAGGTAGAACATCTTAATTATAACTACACTTCAATCTTAAGGGTGACATGACTAAGGCTAAGGGAAGGTAGAACATTTGTAATTATAACTATATGTCAATCTACAGAAAAGATATCAGAAGGTGATATGGCCAGGTCTAAGAGAAGGTAGAAAATTATATAAATATTGCATATAGTTGAGTGCAACATGAAAATTTTCACCCCAAGAAAACCATTGTCAACCGAGGCGCGCAGCCGAGGTTGACAATGGTTTTCGAGGGGTGAAAATTTTCAATGTTACACTCAACTACATGTACATGCAATATTTATTATATTATACTGAATGTTTTATACAAATATATATAACAGTGAACCGTGCGCGCATAAATTCTGCGCAGTCTTTATTTTTTGGAATATCATCCGTCGTCAAGCAATGTTGACTGTTGCTACGCTGGAGGGCGTGGCTTCATTATTCAGCGGGTAATAGTGTTTTTTAACAAATGTTTCTCGACCAATCAGATTGAACTTATTTACATGAAAATATAATATTTGTAATTATAATTATACGTCAATCCAAAACAAGGTATCAGATTCAAATCATTTTTTATCTTAATTGACCCATGCTTCAGCTTGTAGCAGCGGCAGAGTCCCAAACATCTTTAATCAGTTTTAGTACCGACCCATACGTCTGTCCATAGCAATTATATAACAATCACAAACATTTGTTCTAACAATCAACTTATTTCCCATAATGATTTCACAACAAGCTCAACAATTTATAAAAGAGAAATATGACTGATATTTTTAATAGCTTCAATTTTATTTAATTCTAAATCAAACATCTTTATTTTTATTCAGGATATTACAAACAAGGGTATTACTTCAATTATGTAATATGCATACAGTATGAGCAAAATCTAAAAGCTTAATAATATGTTTCTACAGGTGCATGCTCCGCATACTTACACTAAACCTTTAGAGAATTTTGATTCTCATACATTAAGTCTACCTGAGCCTTACAAGAAAGCCTTACCCACGATATATAGCGTAGTATACAGGACTGGCGGAGAGCGGTGGTGAAGTTATAGTCCTCGGAGCTGTGGTGGGTTTGGTGGGCGGCCCATATTATATTCACTTCTGTAAATAATGGGCAGTGTAGTATAAGCTAGGCGAATTGATGCGTGCAGAGATATGTGAATGAATTCTAGCTAAAGATAACGATTTGAAATTTTATGAAATTTCATCTTTTATAAAATAATTTTTATGTTACTTGGCATTTAATGCAATCTTTCCCAATGCAATCTAATTATTCCTATGTACACCCCTACAGACTTTTACGGAAGACATTCCTCCCATTTAAATTCATAAAAAATTAAGAACTTAAAGCTTGTTAAAATATAATTGCTATATTAAATTCTTAAAATTGATTATTTCAATATATTCATGGGCTAAATAAGGCATTGATTGTTTCAACGTTCACATACCTCTAGTTATTTTTACCCTTATTGAGTATTCAGTACTTATAATTAACTAACGGTGAATTGGCAATACTCATGTCACGGGCTAAAGCTAATGCAGAAGGGCATTTTTTGTGCTTTGATGAATGACTTGTCCTATTTTTCTCTGAATTTAACACCCTAACTGGATTGTTTTCATTTGAAACAATGAGACTTTTTATTTCACTCAAGCCCCCAACATGGGGTACAGTTCAATAAACAATTAAACAAATGAATATGGAACGCCATCACTGCCTTATAGCATACAACTATGCATTTATTATGTCAATTTTTCATAACGTGATGTGAACATATCTTTACGTTATGTCAATTTTTTATGAGATGATGTAAAAATATCTTAAACATCATGCCAATGCTGCATTACATGAAGTAAATACATCCTTTCATTATGTCAGCACTTCATAACTTGAAGTAAAAAATTAATTATGTGAAGTGATAATGTGTTTACATTGAGTTAAAAACTTTATTACGTGAAATGAATGTTTCTTTACATCATTTCATTTCTTTAATGTGTGAGGTCAAAATTGCATTACGTCAAGTAAATTGTGTTTTATAATTAAACTTATCATTACACGAAGTCAAAAATCCATTCCTTTTTGAGAGTGTTTATTTCTATTATATCAAAGCATTATTACGTGATATGGATTTATCTTGATTTTACGGCGAGAGCATTATGATGTGAGGTGAACACATCTTACCTTTATGTCAGTGCTTTATTACGTGGTGTAAAATGTGTATAACATAATGTGAACATATCTTTATATTATATCAACACTTTATTACATTATGTCAAAACTCCATACCGTGATGTGGATATATTATAAAGTTAAGTCAACTCTTTCTTATGTGATCTAAAAATAGCTTTATATTGTGTTAACTCTTTATACCCGCACTTTCGAAAGAAAGTTCGGGTATATTGTTGTTACTCATGTCCGTCCGTCCGTCCGTCCGTCCGTCCGTCCGTCCGTCTGTCACACTTTTCTTCCCTGAACTCCTCCTACATTTTTCACAGTAGCTTAATCATCCTTTGGGAGATGGTTGGGGGTGTCATGTAGATGTGCAGTAAGGTTTCTGAATTTTGATTTTGCCCCGGGGGATCAAATGGGGGTCGAAAAATGACGTTTTTTATACAAAAAGCCCCTTCTTCCCTGAACTCCTCCTACATTTTTCACAGTAGCTTAATCATCCTTTGGGATATGGTTGGGGGTGTCATGTAGATGTGCAGTAAGGTTTCGGAATTTTGATTTTGCCCCGGGGGATCAAATGGGGGTCGAAAAATGACGTTTTTTATACAAAAAGCCCCTTCTTCCCTGAACTCCTTCTACATTTTACTCAGCAGCCTAATCATCTTTTGAGAGATGGTTGGTGGTGTCATGTAGATGTGCAGTAAGATTTCGGAATTTTGATTTTGCCCCGGGGGATCAAATGGGGGTCGAAAAATGACGTTTTTTATACAAAAAGCCCCTTCTTCCCTGAACTCCTTCTACATTTTACTCAGCAGCCTAATCATCTTTTGAGAGATGGTTGGTGGTGTCATGTAGATGTGCAGTAAGGTTTCGGAATTTTGATTTTGCCCCGGGGGATCAAATGGGGGTCGAAAAATGATGTTATTTATACAAAAAGCCCCTTCTTCCCTGAACTCCTTCTACATTTTACTCAGCAGCCTAATCATCTTTTGAGAGATGGTTGGTGGTGTCATGTAGATGTGCAGTAAGGTTTCGGAATTTTGATTTTGCCCCGGGGGATCAAATGGGGGTCGAAAAATGATGTTTTTTATACAAAAAGCCCCTTCTTCCCTGAACTCCTTCTACATTTTACTCAGCAGCCTAATCATCTTTTGAGAGATGGTTGGTGGTGTCATGTAGATGTGCAGTAAGGTTTCGGAATTTTGATTTTGCCCCAGGGGATCAAATGGGGGTCGAAAAATGACGTTTTTTATACAAAAAGCCCCTTCTTCTCTGAACTCCTTCTATATTTTACTCAGCAGCCTAATCATCTTTTGAGAGATGGTTGGTGGTGTCATGTAGATGTGCAGTAAGGTTTCGGAATTTTGATTTTGCCCCGGGGGATCAAATGGGGGTCGAAAAATGACGTTTTTTTATACAAAAAGCCCCTTCTTCCCTGAACTCCTTCTACATTTTACTCAGCAGCCTTATCATATTTTAAGAGATGGTTGGTGGTGTCATGTAGATGTGCAGTAAGGTTTCGGAATTTTCATTTTGCCCGGGGGGTGGGGGGATGGGGATCAAATCGAGGTAGAATTTTTATATATATTTTTTTTTACATATATTTGACATGTTTAATCACCCTGCTTTCAAGAACTTCCCTAATATCTTATGCTGCAATAGCTTTAAACCATGATCATTTAGAAAATGATTGGTTTGTTTTGTGTATGTGTAAAATGGTTTCAAAATTTGAATTTTCATATGGATGGCAAAAAGAGGCTGGAATAATATGGCACCTCCCTAACCCTGGTGGTCATGATTTGTACAAACTTGAATCTACACCTCTTGAGAATATTTCCATATTAATCATGCTCTTGGTGTTCCTGAAAAGAAGAACTTTAAAGATGTGTTTCCTTTTATTCCTAAAAAAAACTTTGATCCCTAATTGTGGCCTGACCCTAGCCTGAGGTGATGATTTGAAAAACTAGAAATATGTCTATAGGACATGAATGTCCCGCCAGATGTGTATTACTAATGGTACATTAAACAAGAGGCCCATGGGCCACATCGCTCACCTGAGTACTGAAGCTAAGAAAAAGTAGAAATTGGTTTATAATTGAAAAGTTAAAATCCAAAAGTAATCCCATGATCAATCATGGATTTGCTTTTCTTCAAAGAATTTTCCATATATTTCTATGTAAAACTTTCGTCGGCCATTTTGGCCCCACCCTACCCCCTGGGGTCATGATTTGTACAAATTTTTGAATCTACACTACCTGAAGATGCTTCCATATAAATATGATGAATTATGGATTTGTCATTCTTGAGAAGAAGATTTTTAAAGAATTTTCCCATAAATTTCTATGTAAAACTTTGGTCGGCCTTTTTGGCCCCGCCCTACCCCCAGGGTCATGATTTGAACAAACTTGAATCTTCACTACCTGAGGATGCTTCCATATAAATTTGATGAATTATGGCTTTGTCATTCTTGAGAAGAAGATTTTTAAAGAATTTTCCTATATATTTCTATGTAAAACTTTGATCAGCCATTTTGGCCCTGCCCTACCCCCGGGGGTCATGATTTGAACAAACTTGAATCTACACTATCTGAGGATGTTACTCCATAAGTTTCATCTTTCCTGGCACAGTGGTTCTTGAGAAGAAGATTTTTAAAGAATTTTTCAATATATTTCTATATAAAACTTTAGTCGGCCATTTTGGCCCTGCCCTTAACCCGGGGGTCATGATTTGAACACATTTGAATATTCACTACCTGAGGATGTTAACCCATAAGTTTCATCTTTCCTGGCATAGTGGTTCTTGAGAAGAAGATTTTTAAAACATGCCACCAAATTTTCATTAATTCCCAATTATCTCCCCTTGAATGAGGGCATGGCCCTTCATTTGAAAAAACTTGAATCCCCTTCACCCAAGGATGCTTTGTGGCAAGTTTGGTTGAAATGGCCCAGTGGTTCTTGAGAAGAAGTCGAAAATGTGAAAAGTTTACAGACAGCTAGACAGACAGACGGACGCCGGACAAAATATGATCAGAAAAGCTCACTTGAGCCTTCAGCTCAGGTGAGCTAAAAACTAAAAACTAAAATTTGTATTTGTGTATAAAGTTTGATGAAAATATCTTAAACAGTTTTTTTTTTCAGAATTGAAACTAAAATATAAATAAATTGGATATAGATAATAAATTCTCATCAAATTAGGTATAAGTGCATGTTAAACATAAAGATGTCTTAAATTATTTCTTAAAAACTAAGCAAAATACATATTAAAGAGGAGGGAGGTCAAGGTCACAGGAATGTGCAAGATGAAGTTTTTGATGCACTGAATAGCTCTCACTAATACATATTAGCTTATTATGTTTGATAAAAATATCTTTAATGATTTAATAAAAGTGAGCTTAACACTTTGTTTTAAGAAAAGAGAAGTCAAAGGAAAGGTTGTGGTCAAAATGTTGTTCTAGCTGAAAAGCTTACATCAGTGTGAATTTACTATTATCAAATGAATTTTGATAAAAATATAATTAATGGTTTATTTGAAACTTAGATAAACACATATTTCAAAAACTGAGGTCAAGGTCAAAAGAAAATTCAAGGTCAAAATAAGTTAATGCAATAATAGCTCTCATCAGTATGTATTAGCATATGAAGTTTGATTAATATATCTTGAACTGTTTATTCAAAACTGATCTAGTCTAAGACAGTGATGTCAAGATCACAAAAAATATATTTTTAGCATATTGGTCACAGTCAAGGTCACAAGGTCACTGGCCGTGGTGTTAAAAGAAAAGTTAAGTAAAGGTCAAAGGAAAGTAAAGGTAAACAAGATGTGTTTGTGAAACACTATGCGCCCGGCGGAAACAAAGTTCAAAAAATATATTTTTAGCATATTGGTCACAGTCAAGGTCACAAGGTCACTGGCCGTGGTGTCATTTGAAAGAACT